CTTTCCCGTCCGGTCCCGCAGCGCGTGGGGGGCAGGCGGAAGCCAGTAGCGCGCTCGGTGCTTCTGGGTGCCTGGGCGAGGAGCTTAGCGTGCCTCCGATCTCCTCGCCTGGCGTCCCGGCTCCCCTCCAGCAGCGCTGTCCACCCACGGCGCAAGGTGTCCTTGGAAAGATTACCCCCTCGCTCTCCCCCGCCCCCCTGGCTGTCAGGCAAAGCCGCTCCCTGGGAAGCAGGGCACAGCTGCAGCAGGCCCTCTGAGTTTGTTCGAGATCCCATCGGCCCCCCAGCACGCCCTCGGTATCCTTCCGGGCGACTGTTGAGGCTCCTGCGTACCGCAGCAGGGTTCTTCCTTCCTGCCCCGCGCTCGAGTGTATTAGATGCTGGTACCGGTGGCTTGAAGTGTATTAGATGGTGGTACCGGTGGCTGTGCCTGGTGCAGCTGCTAATAATAGCGCGTCTCCCTGTCAACTGCCGCCTCACCTGAGCATCCCAGCTGTGAGCGAGAGCAAGGGGAAACCACACGGCCTCGCCCAGCCGCACACCCCAGCGCCGCGCCTCTGAGCCGGGATCACCTGCCCCACGTAGACAGTCTCAGGGTTTTCCGTTACCGGAGCGATGCCCTGTCCTGCCCAGACGTGGGTCTGTGTAATAGCGCGTCTCCCTGTCAACTGCCGCCTCACCTGAGCATCCCAGCTGTGAGCGAGAGCAAGGGGAAACCACACGGCCTCGCCCAGCCGCACACCCCAGCGCCGCGCCTCTGAGCCGGGATCACCTGCCCCACGTAGACAGTCTCAGGGTTTTCCGTTACCGGAGCGATGCCCTGTCCTGCCCAGACGTGGGTCTGTGCTCGGAGTTCCTCTCCGTGAACCACGCTGACTCTCTCCCGCTGTTAGCTCTGGCCTCGAGGTGAAGGGGGGGAACCACGCCAGGTCCAGGCCTGCCCATAGGCCAGTAGGGGTTGGAGCTGAGCTTTGGATCAGCTCATCCAAGGAAGGTGGGATGAGTTTGTCCATCGCGGTGGTTTTCACAGGGTCTGACTCCGCAGCTGCTGACCCTGGCACAAGGGTCCAGCGGACGCCGTGGTTGGGACGCCGTGGTTGGGACGCCGTGGTTGGGACGCCGGGGACTTCCGCACGTTGTCCAGGGGCGCTCGAAAGCCTCGTGACCGTGCCGAGCCGGCCAGGCGGCGTTAATTCGTGCCTGTCCGGGTAGGGTGGGGGGAACCCTTCTGCTAGGCCGGGGGGAGCCGCAATCATGCGAGATGACAGAGCTCAGCTTCCGAAGGCGCTGGGCCTTGTGGTAAAGCCGTGCCCTCCCTCAGCAAAGGTGGGAGCTGCCGGGTGCCCAGGTGACTTCTGATCCGGGCCGGGTTAGCACCGTCAGCTACTCACGCTCGTGTACCTGTGCGGCGCAAGCTTCACCAGAGGTCACCACTCTGCTCCGGGCCGCGGCGCTAACGGGACGCTTTCTTCTCAGGCTTTTCCTATGACAAAGAGGCCCGGCTGTACTTCGACGACACGTGCGTCGTGCCGGAGAGGCTGGAAGGTAAGATGCTAGGTGGGTGGGGCAGGTCTGGCTGCTCCTACAAATCAGGGTAACCCCCCCCGCCTACCCCCAAACCAGTGGTGAAGAGATGCCAGCGCTGGACTCGTGCCGTGCACCATGACGGCACGGTGGCCTCCTCGGACGGCCTGGCTCCAGCGCTGGCGGCAGGCGCGCGGGTCCACGGCGAGGTGAGCTAACGTGTCTCCTCACGTGCAGGGAAAGTGAAGCAGGAGCCCACCCTGTATCGGGAGGGGCCGCCGTACCAGAGACGGGGCTCGCTGCAGCTTTGGCAGTTCCTGGTGACGCTCCTGGACGACCCGGCCAACGCCCACTTCATTGCCTGGACGGGCCGGGGCATGGAGTTCAAGCTGATCGAGCCCGAAGAGGTATGGAGCCGGCGGCGGCTGCCTTCGATCCGGCCGGGAAACGGGACTCGGTTCCTAGCCCGCTGCCCCTTGGTGTTCAGGGCGTTGCTGTGCTGCAGGGTGGGGTGAACAACGAGCGGGTGGGGGGGCATTACTCTTTTATCAGAAGCCAATGACTGGTCTGGAGCTGCTGCCTGCTCAGGGCTCCCTCCTTTACGGTCACGTCATGGGGAGGCTACATCTCCGGTGGGGGCTGGGTGTGCCAGGGCCTCGGGGTCTCCAGAGGGGAGACTGTGGGCTCCGTGAGCAGGGGCTGTGTGGAGCAGCTTTGCAGCCTCTGACAGAGGCCGACGGAGCCCTTGGGGTGATGGGAGAGAGCGAACGAAGCCTCTGTGGTATACAGGCGGGCAGTGGCTAGGACTCTGAGGCCATGGCTAGCTCCCCTAGGCACCCCAGCCCTACAGGACATAGTCTGGCTTTTGCCCAGCGCTGGAGGAGGTTCGAGACTCTGGCTCACCTAGGACGACGGGGGGCCGAGCTATCTGTGGAGTCAGCACTGAGCTGGCCATGGGGTCTGCCTCGTGTTGGAAATGCAGAGGGCGCAGGCAGAGTGAGTGCTGGAGATGGGGCAGGAATATGGAGGTAGATTTAGGGTTCCATAATGATTATAGTGGAAACGGTTAATGTTGCTTGTCATCACTAGGTTTCAGAGTTAACAGGTGGCACAGTGAGGAGAGAGGGAACAGTTCCCACCTTGCAGCTGCCTGAAGGCCTGTGGGTGCGGTGTGAGCTGCACTCATGACCCCTGCTCTCCACATGGGGCCCGTATTCCCACCAGCCAGGGCGGAGCTCTGCCCGGGACGCC